GAGAGAGAGAGAGAGAGAGAGAGAGAGAGAGAGAGAGAGAGAGAGAGGTTCAGATACTAAGTGGGTGGGATCAGGGTAAGATAGATGTTCCAGCAGGAGGGATGAGCCTAGGCTGGGACTTGGGGGTAGCCTGATCCTTCCTCTTGTCTCCACAGAAGGCAAAACAAGGCTGTAAACATTTCGTTTGCTCTTCAGGTAAGTGCCCAGGCAGTTTTCTTTCCCTTCCTACCATGGTCTGTGTGTCCTGTGGCCCAGCACCGGGCACTTCTTCTCTCTGGGCCCCGGTCTCCGCAGCAATGTATCCCTTCATAGCCATCCAGATTTGGGGTTCCAGAATGAGGCAGAAGTCACTCTGGAGATGAGCAGCCCCACCTGGGGTCCCAGCCCCTCCTTCCTGACACGCCCTCTCCACTGACAGCGGGCAACGCGGGCATGGCGACTGCCTACGCTGCCAGGAGGCTGGGTATACCAGCCACTATCGTTGTGCCCAGCACCACACCCGCCCTCACCATCGAGCGGCTCAAGGATGAAGGTGCCACGGTTGAAGTGGTGGGAGAGGTGAGTGCGGACACTGTCGTGGGCGGCAGGGCTGAGGGGTGGGGCTTATACCTGGATGACGTCACTCATCATCTCAGTCTCTTCCCACCCCCACCCCTGCAGATGCTGGATGAGGCCATCCAGCTGGCCAAGGCTCTGGAAAAGAATAATCCAGGTTGGGTATACATCCCCCCCTTCGATGACCCTCTCATCTGGTAAGTTGGGGCCACCCTTACACCCTACTGTCATGTGTAGTTTCTGCTCACGTCCACTCCCGCACACCCGACGTGTGCAGGAGAGAACGCACAAGCACACAGATGTACACACCAGCGATGAGGGGTCCCCAGATGCAGAGGTTCAGGGAGACCAGCTCGTCTGGGGGTGACAAGGAACTAACAACCTAGGGAAGCATCGCTGGAGGGGATTCTCATGTGCCAGCATCTACCATGAGCAACTGAGGATAGGCCCCTGGGAACCCTGGGAGTTGGTGGAGAATAAGCATCCTAGGATGTGTCCACTGATGGGCAGGAAACGGGGGTTTATCCACCAACCCCCACAGCCATCTCCTTTCTGGGGTGGGGGAGTCTTGACTCCTCCTGTGAGGCCCAGACTGGGCAGCAGGGAGGTCAGAGGCCAGGTTCATCATTGCCTGGGATAGAAGGAAATAGAGACCTTAGCTGGCATCTTTGGCCAGCCATTATGTCTTCAGGAACCCCTGACTTGACCCTGCCACCCTTCTCCTGCCCAGGGAAGGCCACACTTCCCTTGTGAAGGAACTAAAGGAGACGCTGAGTGACAAGCCCGGGGCCATCGTGTTGTCTGTGGGCGGTGGAGGCCTGCTGTGCGGAGTGGTCCAGGGGCTGTGGGAGGTGGGCTGGGAGGATGTGCCCATCATTGCCATGGAGACCTTCGGCGCCCACAGCTACCATGCTGCCGTCAAGGAAGGAAAGCTGGTCACCCTGCCCAAGATCACCAGGTGAGCCCCGGGGCACCTCTCCATCACACAAGCAGTGGAACTGGGACTTTGGTCATTTGCCCAAAGCCACGTGCCTGTGGGTGGCCCGTCTGGGCCTTGAACATGAGTCTGTTCTATAGACAGTGGTTAAGTGATGTCGATTGATTCTTGAGGTCCTCACGCCTCATTTTTTTTGCTGCCCTCTTATCTGGTCTCTGAAATGTGCTGGTCCTAGCTGATGCTGGTCCTAGCTGATCCTAGACACAGCATAGGGAAAAGAACACCCTCTTGCCTGCAAAGAATTTATAGCCAACCCCCACACTAGCAGCTTAAACCAAACTGAACTCTAGTTCTATTTAAGACTATTAAGGGCAACTCCTTTGAGATGGAAGTTGAGTTCCTTGAGTCTCTCGTCCTGCCACTCTGAGTGTGTTGACCTAGGGTCCAAAGTGGCTGCTTTCGTGCCAGCCATCACACCCACACTCCATCTGAGAAGAGGAAGTGAGAACAGAAGGATGCTCTTAAACTTTAAAGGCAAAGTGGAGATGCTCCCCAGCTGACAGTGAGGTCACACCCAGCAAACCAATCGTTAGAGTTGAGATTGTTATGAACGAGTTGAACCTGGTCCTCTGGATGCCTAAGCTGTTTGACACAGAGTATGGAACTGGCCATTTCTTGCTGATAGGCTGATGGAGAGGTGTGTCTCACGGCTGCCCCTTACCCCCAGCATCCCAAGAGCGAACTGTACTGCAAACCCATAGTCTGGGAAAAGGTCCAAGTTCAGCTCTCAAAGTCCGTTTGGTACCAAGTGTGGATGGCTTTTTTTTTTTCCACCACCACAACGTTGAACCCTCAGAGATCAGAACTGCCTGTACTTCCTCTTATCATGCTTCGGGCAGAGCTTGGTCACATGGCCACACCTAGCTGCAAGGGAGGCTGGGTAAGGTTCGCAGTAGGCATCCACAAGTAGAAGGGACTTCTAGGGAGAGGGTGGCTTCTGTCATAGGCAGACAACGCTGAATCAGTTAAGAGAGTCTTCCAGATTTCTGGGCACAGTGTCCCTACCATTATTCTTTCCTGCCAGATGGAAGATGGGTGCAGTAGCTGGCACTCAGGCAGCCATTTTGGACCCTAGGTTAATATGACCCTGGGGCAGCTATTGCCTCCTCTCCGTTCTGTTTCCTGCTCTATACAACTGAGCTTGGAACGCGTGTGACACCTGATACTTTAGCAAGGACTAGCTCTCCCTGTTTGTTAGGGTGTGGGAAGGCTGTTTGAGAACCTCAACTAATCCATGGGACCAAGGTGTCCCTCTGGGAGGCTCCCTGGAAGAGGTGGCACGTGAGCAGAGCAGGCGGAGGTTACAAGCTGGGGAATGGGGGGTGGGCACCCGAGTCAGGCCAGTTTGGTGCCCTAGACCGATGTTCAGGTTCCTGGGGCTGGGCAGGGGTTGCCCACTCCCACGGCTCACGTGAAGTCCCCACCTCCCTCTACCTTGTCTCTCCCCCGTGTCCATCCCCACCTCCCAGCGTCGCCAAGGCCTTGGGTGTGAACACTGTGGGGGTGCAGGCTCTGAAGCTGTTTTACGTACACCCCATTCTCTCTGAGGTCATCTCGGACCAGGAGGCTGTGACTGCTATTGAGAAGTTCGTGGGTACGTTCTGCGGGATTTTTCCGCCCTTGATTTTCTCCCTCCTCAGCCTAGACTGTGAGTGGACGCTAAAGCCAGTCAGCGCTAAACATGAAAGCTGCTCACGAAAACGTGAGCCTGGTAACCAGGATAGCAGGGAGGACAAACTGGTTTTCAAAGTGCCAGTTAGGAGCTTTCTGGTAGCCAGGGTCAAAGGGGAGAGGTGACCGAGGTGAGCCGGACTTGGAGGTGATCTGTCACGGAAGTCTTGGGTTCAGCCTTGAAGATGGCCAAAGAGACCAAGGGTAACACACATGGCCGTCACTAATCTCAGCCTGCTGCCACACGAGAGTGACCTTCTCAGGTGCCTGAGGACCCTCAGCAGAGGCTGGAGAAACCGAGGCTGGCCTCAAAACAAACAGCCCCAGTCACAGTGAGAGGTTTGGTCCAAGACTTAAGGATGTTTAGAGCTGACCAACCCCCTCCCCCCCCCCCCCCCCCCGCAGACGATGAGAAGATCCTGGTGGAGCCTGCGTGTGGCGCTGCGCTGGCCGCGGTGTACAGCGGTGTGGTGCACAGGCTGCAGGCTGAGGGCCGGCTGCGAACCCCACTGGCCTCGCTGGTCGTCATTGTGTGTGGCGGCAGCAACATCAGCCTGGCGCAGCTGCAGGCGCTCAAGGTGCAGCTGGGCCTGAACGGGCTGCCCAAGTGATGCCCGCTGCTGCCCGGCCACCCTAGGAGGGGTCGCTGGCACCCCTGGGCGGACTGGGCAAGCATGCGCCTGACAGTGGCCCACCCTCCTTTACCCATTGTTTATAACGTTCGTTTTTCCATTGTAAATAAAAAAATATATATTTATAAAGAGATCTTTTGAGCTTTGTTCTTGACATGGGTCTTTGTGCAGCCCACGCTGGCTGGCCTCAAACTGGAGATCCTCCTGCCTCATCCTCTGAGTGCTGGGAAGGATGTTGGCTCCTTGCTTTGCTCAGTCTCCTTTCCACCCAGTCACACCTTCCCCGGCTCTCAGAGGAACGCTGTTCCCCTCTCTCTGGGGACTTGGGTCTCCAGCGAACTGCTGTAGAGTGGGACCCACACATTCATAAGTCAGGAGAGAGGACCACAGCTAAGCCACACAGGGACCTAGGGTGGGGCACAAAGCAGCTGGGAGACGCGTAGGCAAGGCCACCACATGTTAATGTATGAAGTCACAGAAGGACATCCTGAAAACACCTACGGTCCCACCCCGGTGTGTGGAAAACCGACCCTGCACACTTGCCTTCAGGGCAGGGATGGTGACATGAACCTGACACAGAAAACGCAATCCCCACTACCAACGAAACTCAGAACACACAGCAGGCTTGGGCTGGCTGGGGTAAAGCCACGCACGCGTCTCAGGGTTCATAGGCTGTGAGCTCTCTAGGCCCCACACAGGGGACTTGGTTTCACGTGGGTCTCTGGGTCTAGGATTTAGGGTCTTAGTGATTAGCAGGACGGGGCAGACTAGGACCCAGAATACACTTGAGACAGATGCTGAGCAGAAAGACTAACAGGGATAAATGGACCTCCGAAGAGATAGAGGAACAGACAGATGGGTGGACTGATGAAAAACAGGAAAAAGGCACGGTGGTCCATACATGTAATCCAGCATGTGAGCAGTGAAGGCAGGCAGCCACAAGTTCAAGACCACACTGAGAGCAAAGCCAAAGGAAAGAGATGTGCGGTTCTGGGTGGACGGGTGGGTGAGCGGGTGAGGATGGACAGATGGAGAGGCAGACAGTAGACAGGTGTGGACAGACAGGCAGGTGGCTGTTGATGCAGATGGACAGATGTGTGGACCAACACAGAGAGAAAGGACAGGTGAAAGGAAACAGCAGTGGATGACAGGGTGTATCACTGCCCCACAAGGCCCATTTAACAGAAGCATGGCCTGGGCTTTGCTGTCCATGGCACACAACCGGGGACACCTACCAGGAGGCCAGAGGCGGGCTTGGCTGTAGGGGTAGGAGGATGGGGTGATGGTCCATCCCTCCTGCTGAAAGAACTCAAGACCCTCCAGCTACAAGCAGCCAGAAGCTTTGATTTTTGTTTTCAAGCTCCTGCACTTAGGGAAGCTGCCCAGAGAAGGGGACACAGGGGCTGCCCCCCCAAGGTGACAGGCCCGCAGGCCAGTAGTGACAACCATAATGTCCCCAATCAGTTCACAAGCATGCTGAAGGACCAGCACTAGGAGAATGCTACCCAGGACCCCACCAGGCCCACAGCCAAGCGTAAGCCCTAGCCTGCTGGTGACAGGGACAGGGAGGAAGAGCCATGAAGGGGCAGAGGGCTCGGGGACCGAGTCAGCTCCGAGCCCATTGGGTTGTAACCTTGTGAAGAAAGCCGCTAGGATCAGAGTCTAGTGAAGACAGGACCCCGGGGGTGGACGGCAGGTGTGTGACCCCACTGGCCACACAAAATGAAGGCAGCTGGGCGGAGGCAGATTCTCAGTCCCACGGGACCCTGATGGGTGAGAACGTCCAAAGATCAGGCTGGCCCATGTGCAGCGTGCTGTGGAATGGCGACTTGCTCCACTGGAATGGAGGACACTGGTCCCACGTGGGGCCGCTGGCTGCCAGCATGCTCATGGATTTAGCCAGTGTAAAGCTGGTCACCTGAGGGTCAGAGAGCACACCACTGAGCTAGCAGGCCCAACTCTCACCATGACCTTTCTTTAAAACACCATTCTGAAGCTGACCCCAAAGCAGATGTCCCCTTAAACAGCCCAGGTCTGACCTTTGACCCTGCACCTGTCCCACCCATCCTTCCCCAGGGCATGTGACAATTAGCTTAGGTGGCAAACCTTCACATCGATGCCACCATGGGCGCGCTGACGCAGGGCCTGAAATGGGTAGGAGCCATTAGCGGGGTTGAGGTCAGAGCGGGCAGAAATGGCGTTCTCCGCGTTGGGCTTCGGGCTGCAGGCTTCACACAACGACAGAGGATCGTGAAGGAAATCATTGTACCTGGGTGGGAAGGAAGGGATGGCAGTCACCCTAGGGAAAGGCCAAGCTCCTCCTGCCCCAGAGTGGCCCTGAGACCTCCTGAACTTTCTGGGCCTATCCCAACACCAGCAGCCTTGGCTTGGGCAGGACCAGAGGTAGACCACCCTCACCCCTCCACCAACCAGGTCGCCCCAGCCTTATCACTCAGCTCTTCCTGGGGAGGTTCTCCAGGAGCACCCCCTAGCAGGTCAGACCCCAGGTCTGTTCCGTGCCAGCATCTGGAGGGACTCAGGATGCCCAGACATACTTCAGCTCCAGCCTGGGTCCTGGGCAGGCACCTCCACCTCCCAGGAGAAAGGAGCAGTCCCCCATTTGCAGACCAAAGCTGGCTGATGGCAAGGTTCAGTGGACCTGTCATGCAGAGGTGGCTCTCTGCAGCAAGCCTGGAGTGTGCTGACCCACCTCATGAGCCGGACCATGGTGTCTGTGTCCTCCACCAGTGACTGGTCCCTCTGGAAGATCTTGGCTCGAGGGTTCTTGTTGTAGGAGAACCAATCTCCGTACTGGGCCACCAGGGCCTGCAGCCCACTAGCGTTGAATACAGACTCAAAGTACCTGCTGGGACAAGGGTGGTCACCCACGACTCCCACTGGCCACATGGCTGGTTGTGGCTGGCATGGGGGTGGGGTCACAGTGGGACAGTTGTAACTGAAGTCAGGTTGTGGCAAGGCCCTCTTGTCCTACTATGGATGAACCTGAGTTCTCACTTCACTATTCTGACTATGGAGCTGTGCGTGAGCCAGGATCCCTGCCTCAGTTTCCACATCCGTGGAATGAGAAGAGATGGCTGCACTCATGTGTCATGGTCATAAGGACCCAGTGCCAGCCTGGGAAAGCACAGGCCATAAGGTAGCTCTGAAGAATCCAGCTAAGACTGGCTTCATGGGACGGAGGCTCCCCAAGCCACGCTTCAACTTCAGCCCGGGTACCGCATGGGCAGCTCCACCTCCCAGGAGGTGGGCAGATCCAGCTGAACACCTGGCAATGCCCAGTCCCAGGGTGTGGCCACCTCAAACCGCCCTACAGCAGGTACCAGAACTAGAGGTCACAATATGACCAGGGGGTGGGAGGTGGGGTGGGGGGTGTGGCTTTCCCAGCAGGAGAGCGACTGTTCTCCTTGCTCAGCATGTTTAAATGTCACCTGGGGAAGGACCCTGCCCCAGAGAGGACAGATCTGGGGGGAGGGGGAGGCATGAAAGGGCACGTACGGGATGTTGTAGCTAGCCCAGTAGGTCGTCTTGTAGAGCTCCGCAGTCTTGTCGGCCACCACCACCATGCCCCTAAGACCGAGAGAGACAGGCAAAGCAAGTGAGGAGACACCCGGGGGCTCAGCCAGTGTGAGAGCCCTGGGCAGGAACTGTGTTGCGTCTCCCACCTCCTGTTCCCATCAGGGGCACCCCTCCTTCAGCCTCCCCTTCTTCCCTCTGCCCCAGGGACTCACGGGATCTGTTCTAGGATGGTAAGCACCCGGCTTCCAGGGCTGGGTCCGCCGGGGATGAAGGCCTTGTAGTCCACAATCATCCACTGGTTATTGTACCTGCCGGGCACAAGGAAGGAGGCACGTCAAGCCTGGAACCCTTCTCCAGCCCTCTCCGGCACATCTCTCCTGCCTCAGTACCCCAGACGGCCAGGACTCAGGGACAACACCCTGACATTGCAGCTTGCATGCGAGCCCACAAAACCCTCTTGCTGCGCATGCTGTCTCTCTGCTCAAGTACGGCCCACGGCTCCCTAGAACTTCTAAAGTAAAGGGCAGTTCTGGTGAGGCTCGTGTAGACCTACTCACTTCCGGTGCCTGGTCCCCGTCCCGCCCCATCGGCGCTCTGAGGCCTACCCACTTCCGGCACTTGGTTCCCAGGCCCCGCCCCAGGCTCGGTCTCTTCCACCGCATGTCTGAGCCCTCTCCTTAAACTTTGCCCAGGGGGACAGCCTCAAGAGGAGGAGATTGAAAAAGAAAAGAAAATCCTTTCTTTCTTGAGCCTCAGTTTCTCCACGTATAAAACAAGGAAGGGGCTCGAGCTACCCCAGAGACCATCTGCGAGAAGCGGTTGAGCAGAGGGCCCTGGAGCCCCATGGGTCCCCTCTGGACTGAGTACTAAGTGGCCCCCAAGTAGGGGTCGTGGAACAGGATCGCACTCACGTGCCGCTGTTGAAGCGCTTGAAGACATCTGCCCAGGTGGCTCCATCCAAGGCCAGGCGGTTGGCCACGATGTTCCGAATCCACTCCAGCACACAGCCCTGGGGCTGCACGTACTTCCACAGGGCTGGGTTCTTGTTGCCGATGGTGGTCTCCAGGGTGACCTGTGAGAGAGACAAGGTGGGCTGCAGACCCCACGTGGCAGCTCTGCAGGTCTTGGCTCAGAAGTCAATATTTTAGTTTTCCTCACAACTCTAAGCTGTTTTGGAGCACACCCCTCAGGGATTCCTTGGGAAAGTACTTGGCTTGGAGGAGACTCAGGATCTTGCACCCGGCTCTGCCCTGGGGACCAAAGTGCCATTCCTAGGTGTCTCCCCATCATTGGAGGAGCGCTTCCCCAAGAGACAGCATCCCAACCTTCCTCTCTACAGGGAGACGCTATTCACCTGGAGCCCCAGCAGCCAGAGACCTTGGGAAGACCCCAGCCCACCTGCTCTGTCTCAGAGTCACAACCCATCACAGCTGCTTATGAAGCCTCTCTCCTCACTGTCCCTGGAGCCCTCATGTGTCTGCATAAACACGCCTTGTTCTCATTGGTTAAAGCTAACGCAGAACCAGCCAGGCATGCTGGCACATGCTGGATCCAGCACTCTCCAGGCAGAGGCAGGAAGGACCGCCACAGGTTCAAGGTGAGTCTGGTCTCGAACCAAGCAACAGAACGTGGATCAAGAGCCAAGCAGAGCCCGTGAAACGTTTAACTTGCCAAACAAAGGCCACATCCTGGCAGCTGGCGGGTGGCCCTGCAGTAGGAAAATTGACAGCCGAGTGCCAGTCAGCTCTCCCCACCCTCACCAGAGCCATAGGAGGGCACTGACGCCGCCTCCTGGAAGACAGCAGCAGCTGAGAAGCAGCTGCTTGTGGCTGCTGAGCAGACAGATGGGCCAGGCTCCTGTCACCCTGCCCCCAAGGCAGAGTCGAGTCCCCTGTGCCCTGAAGGGTGCTGGACCGAGTCTTCCTTTACACAGGGAGGCTAAAAGGAGCCAACAGCTGGCAGGACCCACCTAGGAGAGCGTTTTCAAGTTTTACTTATTTTGGAAGCATTTACAGTCTCACACCGTAGCCCATGCTAGCTTCAGACTCTTCTTGGTTATTCTCCTGCCTCCACGACCCAAGTGATAGGAGTTCAGGTGTGAGCTTAGGCCAGTGTTTTAAAGAAGCCATTGAGGGCTAGAGAGATGTCTCAGTGGTTAAGAGCCCTGATTGCTCCTCCAGAGGTCCTGAGTTCAATTCCCAGCAATCACATGGTGGCTCACAGCCATCTGTAACGGGATCCAATGCCCTCTTCTGGTGTGTCTGAAGATAGCTACAGTGTATTCATATATATAAAATAAATAAATAAATCTAAAAAAAAAGAAGAAGAAGATATGGAAGCCAGGCACAGTGCTGCATACCTTTAACCCCAGCACTAGGGAGGTGGAGGCAGTAGGATCAGGGGCTCAAGGAAGCCACAGCTACATAGGCCAGCCTGGGCTACATGAGACTCTGTTTTGGAAAACCAGAATGAAAAATATAAAAAGAAGAAAAATAAAAATGACATCTAAGCCGGGCAGTGGTGGCGCACGCCTTTAATCCCAGCACTCGGGAGGCAGAGACAGGCGGATTTCTGAGTTCGAGGCCAGCCTGGTCTACAGAGTGAGTTCCAGGACAGCCAGAACTACACAGAGAAACCCTGTCTCGAAAAACCAAAAAAAAAAAAAAATGACATCTAAGCCAGGCCTGGCACGTACGTATGTAATTTTAGTCTACTCAAAAGGCTGAGGAAGGAGAGCTGCTAGCCTGGGCTACATACTGAGTTCCAGGACAGCCCAAGCTATAGAGAGATACACTGCCTAAAAGATAAATAAATAAGTCAATCAAACAAACAAACAAACAAACAAAAACACAAGAAAAGAGAAAAGCTGGGTTTGCTGGCTCGTACCTTTAAACCCAGCATTTGGGAAGCACAGGCAGGACAATCTCTGTTCGAGACCAGCCTGGTCTATGGGGCAAAGTCTGAGGCAACCAGGGCCTTATGTAGTGAAAGTGTCTCATAATAAATAAAATAAGGAAATAAATAAGAAAGAGTATGAGAAGGTCACCAGCATCCTACACTGTAGAGGGGACAAACACGAGGAAAGGCAGTGGGTTCTATAGCCTCCTGTGCTGGGCCAGTGACGTTCATTCCCCACCCCTTTCCCCTTTCCCCTTTCTTCCCACACACCTCTCTCTCTCTCTCTCTCTCTCTCTCTCTCTCTCTCTCTCTCTTGACTTATGGGAGTTGGGAGGTGGGGGAATCTTGTCAGGCTGGGGCTCCTGTGACTAAGGTCCCCAGGGGCTGCCTCTCCCACAGTGCGAACACAGGGACATGAGCCCCACCGTGCCCGACAGTGCCCCACGCCTCCGCTGCAGCCAGGGCACACTGCAGCTAAGTGAGTCTCCTGGCAGCATCAGTGTGAGATTTCAGGCTCCAGGAACAGATTTCTAAAGGGGCCTGGATGCCAGCCAGGGGGGGCAGCAGAAACGAAGCGCTGTAAACAGCAGCTCCTCAGGACCTCAGGACCGGGCCAGGCTACCGGGTGGGGAGAGGGAAAGGCCGAGCAGAGCAAGGGCACGGACAAAAGGGAGGTGTCTCTGCCGAACACAGAAAACAACAAGGTCACGGTCCCCAAGACCAGTAGTTCCTAAGGACCTAGCAGACCTGCCCACTTTAACTTCTTCACGTTATCCCCAGAGCCTCTACGTGCCATGTCCCCAGGGAGCATGTGACTCAGCCACTCACCAGCCCACTGCCCAGGATGTAGAAGTCATCGCCGGAGAAGATGGTGCCCGGGTAAGACGAAAAAACCAAGTTGTTGCCAGCAATCAGGGGGTACTCCTCTGGTGGGGGGTGGAGAGCAGGAGCTGGTCAGGCAGGCAGGCCCTGTAGGTAACCCATCCCCCATCCCACAAGGCTGGGGTCTCAAGTGAGGAACAAGCAGTCCTCAGGAGGCCACTCTCATCCCTGCACATGAAATGTGTGGGTGGCTGCCATCAGGAGGACCCAGTTCAAAGCCACCTGGGCTACGCAGTGAGACTCTGATTCAGAAAGGAAGGGGAGGAGGTGGAGGAGGAGGAAGATAAGGAGACAGAGGAGGGAGAGTAGGAGAGGGGGAGGGGGAGGAAGAAGGGAGGAGGAGCAGGAAAAGGAATGAGGAAGCACCCTGCTGCAGGGATGTGCCCTGCTGACCGTCTGTCTCCACTGCTCCCATGACAGACTTGCAGTATGACAGACAGCAAGGTGCTCCTCACTGTAGCTGGAAACGAGTTTTCCTTAAACACCCCTGAGTGGTGAATTCGTTTATAAAGGGTGCAAATAAATAAATTCATTTAAAAATGCAGATGGATCTAACTTCATCAAAAGGGTCTGTGCATGCGAGCTCAGAGGGGGGCAGTGTGTCTTCTGGACGCGTGAGATTTGTGACTGTATACAACGGGTACCACGGGAGAAACAGAGCCATGCCAAATCGAAAGGGACCGTAGAATAGCGACAAGAAAACAACCAACCCCCAAGGAGAACCTCCCAAGGGCTGTGGGAGTCACAGCAAGACGGCCTCACTGCTTGCCAGGATTTCCTCCCCACACGACTTCCACAAAGTGTTGGTGGTACTGTCTGAGGGAGACTTGCTCAGGTAGGCAAGAGTTCTGTCATGGAGCTCTGTCCCCAGCCCTCAAACAGGGTTTTAAAGGGTTAAAAATGTAAGAAATCGTGGTGAGTGCCTGTCATCCCAGTAAGACAGAAGCTGAGGCAGGAGGATTTCTAATTCAGCACCACCCCACTATGTGTAACTGTTCACCCCACCCCCACCCCACCCCACCCCCGCTGCCTCTGTTTGCCTGCCTCACTGGGCGATGGTCTATGTTGGGCACACACTAGAGTTCAAGGCCGTCTGGGACACGGAGCTCAGTGGTACAGTGCTTCCTGGGCCAGAGGCCCAGGAGCAGATAAGAGTCGGAAGAAGGTAGGAGGGTAGGTGCAGGCAGAGGGGCAGATGGTGGTGGTAACCTTGGGAACCAGCTGAAGGAAATGCCTTGCTTGCCAAGTAAGAACTCCGCCCAAAGCCCCACCCCTGTGCGCATGCCCATGCCCACCCTCCCACAAGGATGCTCCCTCCTCCCACCTTGCGGCCCCTCCCGGAACTGCAGCCGGTACTTCTTGATGATTCGTAACATGTTCTGGTAGGAGTTCCACGTGTTGTGCGCCACCAGGAGGTCATGCCCGCCAGGCAGCAGCTTGATGAGGGCAGAGCAGGAACCGGAGCCCAGGGAAGGCTTGGTGTCGGTCTTATTCAGGGCTGGCTCTAGGTCTTCCAGGTCTCCAGAAATCTGCAGCAGGCTTAAGAGGCAGGATGGGAGGGTTGGCGGCTACTCTGCGCCATGTCACAGCTGAGGCTTTGTGGGTCAGTCGACCCACTGTGTTCTGGGAGTAGGGAGTGGCAGAGCTGGCATGGAACCGGGAGAATTATGAAGTTCATGGCTCCTAACCCAGCCTGCGCAGGCTGGAGGGGGGTTGGGGAGCACTTACAGGAACCCCAAGGGTTTGATGGTGAACCTCCCAGTTGGGAAGGTTAAGCGGCCTTCATAGCTGTCCTCCAGGCCTTTCAGCTGCAGGAGGGTCAGCCGCACCTAGGGGAGGGGGCAAAGGGAGGATGAGGCCCCCCAGTTCACCACTTCTACATAGTTGCAGGGGCTCTGACCTGGTTCAGGGGTGCTCCACAGGCTCCAGCCAGCCCTGACCCCTCTCTTGCTGTCAATGAATAAACAGTATGACATGTCCTTATACTGATTCCAAGTCACCCTCGATTAAGAACCTGATCAAAAGCCATCTCTTCCACAAAGCCTTCTAGTTTGGCCAGAGCCCCTGTCAACACCTCCCTAGTGTTAGAACTGGCTGTGTGGCGGCCCCAGCACCTGTGTCTGCTCCCTGCTGTCTATATGTAACTGGAGGCATCACCGTGACCCTCGCTGGGTCTTGACTGGTGCTGGGCATGCACCAGGAACTTAGTTCCGTACAGACGAGGTAGATGGGGTAGATCAGCAGGAGGGAGAGGAGAGACAGACGAACAGACAGAAGGATGGATGGATCAACAGGAAAGTGGATGAATGGCTTGGAGGGTGGATGGGTTGATGTGTCCACGTATGGGTGGCTAAGTAGATCTATTGTTCAGTAAATGGATACCTTAGTAGATGGATAGCTGGAAGGATGGATGGATGGATGGATGGATGGATGGATGGATGGATGGCCTGACAGGCGGATGAATGGGACAGACAGAAGCAGGCACATGGTGGTCTGGAGGGTAGATGGGTTGCTGTGTGTGGTGGGTCAGCAGACATATGGAAGGGTGGGTGGGCATGTGAGGGAAGAGAGTCTGAAGCAGCAAGGGCAGGCTCTGGGTTGGCCGGGAGAACCATGTGTGGGGGAATAACAGCGTGAGCACTGGAGGGCGCACAAACAGGCAGCAGGGTCATCCGCAGAGGCCACTGCCTGTGCGGCACAGCTAAACCCTCTTGTCTGTAGAGAGTTCACAGAGTCTGTGGCTTTTGCACTGACAGCTGTGCCCACAGCCCAGGACCTAGGCCTTAGCATCCAGTCTGTCTAAGCTCAGCACAGGGAGGGAACACCGGGCTCATCTACGTTGTGTTCATCTCTCTCCTCCCTCCTCTTCTGAAACAGTGCTTGCCTGTGTCCAGCCTTCTGCCACCTTCCTGACAGCGAGAGCCACACGCCACCACTTAGCTAGGTTCTCTGACAGCAGGAGAGCGGGGCTGGGCATCTGGGCCAGCATGGGCAGCTGGAGGTCCATCGAGTGGACAGATGGAAGAATGGCGGCTTGGGGAGGAGGGGTGCCGGTGCTGATGGACACTAGAATGGGCTGGGTTTCTGGCCAGCCAGGGACAGCACAGGAGATGGGTACACCCAAAAGAGCCACCTTCCTTCCCGAGAGCAGGGCAGCCTGGCCCACCTGGTGCCAGTATGGAGAGTCCGGGCTAAGCTCCATCTCCCGCTGCATCCACTCCAGGTTGGCCTCCAGGAAGCTCTTGAGCTTCTCACAGTAGCCGACTTCGTATTCGAAGGGGCCGCAGTAATTGACCACCGTGTTCATCCAGTGCATGTAGATAAGCTGTGGAAAGAAGACAGGGCAGCTGCTCTCTGTGCGGGACCTGAGGAGCAGCCCAAGGCTAGAGGACTACCGTGCCTACGCTGGGGCTCTCGGCCCCCTTCAAGGCCCACATCCTCTGAGGCTCTCTCTGGGGCCTGTGACATGGAAGGTCTAGACTAGACTGCACCACCTCTGTTGCTGGGGCCTGGACTGAGCAATGGGCTCTGCCGTCAGACATGGGGGTCTTGGGTTATGTCGGCAGCTGTAGTATTGGAGATTGGACCCTGGGCTTCAGGGGGCCAAGCAAACATTCTGTAAGGCCACCGGTCACCGGCCACTGGCCCACAGCCCAGCCCTTGAGGTCTCATTTTGTTGTCTTTTGCTTGGGTTGTTTAGAGGTGGGGTCGTCTACATGCGAGACTGGCCTTGAATAGCCAGTCTTGCTGCCTCCACCTACCAAGTGCTGGATTACAGGTGTGCACTAGCACATCGCCACATCGCAGCCTTGGCTGGGACCCTTAGACAGGCTCACACTCCTTTGCTCTGGCCTGCTAGGATGATGACTCCAGGCGCTGCAAACACATACCATGACTCTCAGCCAGAAGCATGTGTGTGAGCAGCTCCCTGTTCTGCTACAAGCACGGAGGAAACAAAACAAGCCCGCCTGCTGACTCACTGGGCCAGAGAAGTGTGCCAGGCTGTTGGCATGCCCAGGTGCAGGGTGGATGAGCTAGGGCTTGCCTGCTGGGGGAAGCTACAGCCAGCATACCCTGTCCTCCAGCTGCTGGACGTGAATGAGGTTATCCCAGACCACCCAGCCCGCTGTCCGCAGCAGCACAGGTGAGCCCACCCAGGTCGGCTTGACCTGGAATGACCAGGGCACACAGCGGTGCTTCCTGGGGCGGGGGGTGGGGAGGGAGAGGGACTGCTGGCCAGTGGCTCATATGCCAGTGAGCACAGTGGACATGCTGCAGCCTCCAGTGCTCTGAGCAAGGCAGTGTAGGTGCCATCCCCACATAGTGGTCCAGCCTGGGCTGGCTGGTGCCTTCTGGCTCATGAAGGGAGCATCAGGCTCTGCCATGTGTGTCCCTGCCACCGCTGTCCAGACCCCACCAGAGGCCCAGGCAATGATCTGCCCAGAACCGGAAGAGCCGTGAGGCTTTCTGAGCTCCTTGTCTTGGGTATTTATTTCCTTACAGTGAAGTAAAACCAACATACCCACTTTACAGCTGGGGAAACTGAGACATGGGTAGATAAGTACTTGTGTCCCCAAAACACCCAGACATCACATCACAGGCCTGACCTGGGCCCACGCCAAGATCTGGGGGTTTGGGTTTTTGTTTGTTTTTTTGTTTTGTTTTTGCAAAATCCCAAATCCCCGCACTCGCTGGGCGACTCTGCTGAAGGTAACTTACGGCCACACCCCACCCTACCAGAAAGCCTCCCCACTAGGAGGGCCACGTGCCCAGTGACACACACCAAATCCTGCTTGTGCCCAGGCCCCACAAATGCTCTCTGTCTCCTTGAACTTTGCAGGGCCTCTAGAGCACTGCCCACTGCCCTACCCTACCCGAGGCTCAGCTGGGTACATGACACATGAGCCCTACCCATCCGCAGGAAGCAGCAATAGAGCGAACTGTGCTGACTGGAGACTTGAGCCAGACAGAGCTAGACTCAAATGCTGCTTCTCATCTCGAATGGCTGTTTAATCTTAACAAGCGCCTTTGCCTCCCAGGACCCATGGTCACCCACTGTCAGTCACTGCCCCGGCAGAACAGAATCCCACAGAGGCTGCTTCTGTGACCCCACCCCCACAGCACAGCGCACAGCTTCATGGTCCCCCACTGTCAGTCACTGCCCACCTACATAGTGACAAGTGTGGAATGTTGGGTTTTTTCAAAAACAAAGAATTACTGTAGATATGTTTTCATTTTAACCCAAGGTATGGTGATGTGGGGCTGCTTCAGACCGTCTGTAGCAGCAGCTGACTATGATTTGCCTCGTGCTCTAGTTGGGGGTGTGATTTTGCCAGCTGCAGAGAGTTTTCCAATTGTGTGACACTTGGAATTCTGGGAGTTTTTCAGAGGGTCTATAAATGCTAGGGCCCTGAGAGGCAGGGTTGGTTACAGTTTGTTAGCAGTCATACTCAAAGAAGAAACAAGAAAGAAATTAGATTCAGGGATACTGTTCTTCTCTCTCCCCCTCCTCCCCCCTGCTCTCTCTCTAATATAAATGAAAATAAATCTTTCCAAAAAGCCCTGAATTGGGGGAATAGGCATGAAGGCAGAGGAGAACCATGGACCACTTAGTTGAGAAGGGTGATGAAGACATTCTAGAACTGGATAGTGGTCTGACTGTACAACCTTAGAACTGTACCCCAAACCAATAGATTGCAGTGTTTTCACTTTTTGAGGGGGTGGGAGAGTAGTCACGGCTGGTTCTGAACTCCATCCCCCAGTGCTAGGACAGCAGGCATGAATCACAGCCTGGAAGTTTTTGTTGCTGTTTCCTGTCTCTAACACACGCTCCCCTTAAACTCGGCAAGCCGTCTGCCTCAGCCTCCCGTCACTCGGTAACAGGTGTGCTTCACCAGGCCCAGCTTATGTGCTGCTCTGAAGAACGGGCTCTTTTTCTCCCCTAACGGAGGACAGGAGATGGGGACCCGTCTCAGCACATGCATCAACTCTTCTGAGGCCCTAAGGGTGTCCTGGCTTGGCTGGGGGCAGGCAGCTGGGACCCTGGACTCCCACACTGGCCTTACCTCCTCGGACACAGAGGCCTCCACCACACCAGCTGCATAGGCCTGCAGGCTGTCATTGTAGCTGCCATTTGTGCTCAGGTCCAGATAGGCCCACCTGGAGGGAGAAGAAGGACATTCAGTCCACAGCAGGGACCCCTGCAAAGCCAGCCACCACAGCCAGACCCACAGCTGTAGGCAGACTTGGCTTCATGTTCTACATGAAGAACAAATTCTACACTACAGATCGAATCCAGGCCCTCGTGTGCCAAGCAACTGCTCCAGCCCTGGTTTTGTTCCTGTCCCTTTTTCAAACACGGTCTCACTATGTAGCCCAGGCTGGCCTGGAACTCTAATCCTCCTGCCTCAGCTTTCCAAGTGCTGAGATGCGTGACACCATGGCTGCCCAGCCTCTAGTTTTAGACCATGTAAACAGCCTGGTGAGTAGCAGCTGCCCATACAGATGTTGGCCTACCTGTCCACACCTGCATACCTGCTGGGCTACATACCTGAGACAGGAAGTGCTGGGTCAGAGGATGTACTTCAAACAAAGGCTAAGCTGGCCTCTTCTCCCCACCTATGCCAACTGATGTTCCCAATCATGGTGACCCGCCCTTCTGAGCTTGTCTGATTTGTCCACTGGCAACCCCACAGTCCTTTCAGGTAGGCACTGTTACTGCATCACATGGAGAAGGAGGGGACTGAGGCACAGAGCTCATCATCACAGTGATGGATACCCTGTGTCCTCCTGCTTTGTGAGGCTCTGCAATGTCCCCACCCACGACCTCATGCCCTGCCCACATGTCCATCTGCGCTGGGTCACACATGTGGCTTGCTTTGCCCGGCGGGACAAGGGAAGAACTGACACATTGCTGCTAGGAACAAGAAACCTCACCACTCCCCGATGTCCTTCTGTGCCTCTGCCGCTGTCATGGAAGGACACTGTGTCCTTGTCTGTGAGTCCCAGGGATGGAAAATATCCAGAGCAGAGCAGGTCTGCAGACCTGGAGCTCGGTGGCTTTAGGAGCTCAGCTCCTCGAGGGTCAGCAGCCGCTGGGGCTGTTATTCTAGAGCCCTGCTGCCCAATGCCTGGCTGACACAGGGTCAGAGGTCACCAAAGGCAGAACAAGATTCCTGTCAAGTCAGGCTTCCATCTTTCTTTTCTTTTTTTGATACGAAGTCTCTCACTGAGACCTGATTTCCCTGAATCTCCACCTCCCTCAGCATGGAGGTGTTATAAATTATTCTCTCCCCCCCTTGTTCTCAGTTTCTTTATAGAATTGCCTGTAAAATATTTCTCCAGAGGCTGGAGAGATGGCTCAGCAGTTATGACCCAAGTTCGGTTCTCAACACTCCCAGCAGGTAAGCTCACTAGAGCACGTGAGTCCAGTTCCAGGAAACCCAAGGCCCTCTTCAGGCCTCTGCAGGCCTGCACGTACACACCACACATAACCTCACAGACACACAGACATAAATCAATCACTTGTTTGTTTTGTTGTGGAGACAGGGTTTCTCTGTGTGGCTGTCCTGGAACTCGCTTTGTAGACCAGGCTGGCTTCGAACTCCTGAGCGCTGGGATTTAAGGCATGCGTTAGCACACCCTGCTCAGATAAATCTCTTTAAGAAGGAGGTGAGGTGCAGCTCAGGTGGCAGAGTGCTCGCCTGGCATGCACCAAGCCCTGGGTTCTGTCCCCAGCCCTGCACAAACTGGGCATCGTGGCACTTGACTGTATTCTCGGCATTCAGGCGGAGGATGGAGGAAGATCACAAATTCACAGTCACTGAGAACAGACTGAGTTCTCAAGACAGTCTCAGGGCTGCGTTGGGTGGTGGGCCAAAGTCAGACTCATGGGCCAGCACGATGGCTCAGTGGGTAAAGACGATTGCCACCAAGCCTAATGACCTGAGTTTGATCCCCAGGACTTACTGGAAGGAGAGACAAGTTGTCCTGACCGCCACACAAACCATAGCGCATCTGACACCCCCCACACCCGATAAATAAATAAATAAATAAATAAATAAATAAATAAATAAATAGCCAAACTCAGAACAGCAGAAAGGGAGGAGAAAGACGGAGGAGAATTTACCAACAAAAATCCCAGAACTGGCAAGAGTGAAACTTCCAGAAAGGGGGAATATTAATTCCAAGAGAGTCTAGCTTCTGACCTCTGCCCTCCAAAAAAAGTGAGCCAGATACCCCCAGGCTAGAGTTCCCATCGACAGGGGGACCAGGACAGGCCAGATGTCTTCTATTTGACCCAAGTCTTCAAGGGTCTGTCTCCATGCCTATCAACGGAGGTCTCCCATCATGAACTCCCTGTACTGCTGGAGTCTCACAGTGAAGGGGCATGTGCCGTAGGAGAGGCGAGACAGGACAGGAAATAGGCTAGCATGGTGACGGGCCTCAGTTTCCCCAACTGAAAAATGGCCGAAGGACCTTTAATCCTTTCCTTCCCTCATCTTTCCTCACATCAACAGTGGTGCTTTCTAAGTCTCAGGGAAACTGTGGGACCCTTTGAACCCCATCTCGGGCAAGAAAACAGGCTCAGAGAAGGGATGCCACTTGCTCTGAGTCATACAACAGTGGATCTGAGGCTGCAGGAAATTCCCAGCACAACCAAGGAAGACCCGTCCCCACAGTCATAAGTCCTGGAACTGGAAGCATTCCAAGCCACTTGATGTCTCCTAAGTCCCCGCCCCGGTCACACACACACACACTTCCTATGTCTCCACATCCAAGCAGGGGTTTGTCACACCCTCTCAGCTCTGCTAAACAAGCAAAACTATGAGTCAGCAGAGAACAGGCCACCAGATCAATTCACAGGGGATGCCCCTGATGCCAGCCAGAGCTGTGGTTCCCTTCAAATAGCAGCCAAGTCAGCGGCCTTCTCTCCCTGGAAGCTTTCCCAGATTGACCCCACCCAGCTGTGATGTCTGCAGCAACCTTCCAGGGACCACCAACACTGGAGATGTCTTCAGCATCTTGTGTTTCCCAAACCTGTGGGAACCCATACTACAGGAGACTGTGCCCTCTGAGAATGAGAACATTGAGGACTGATACGGACCACGCTGGGTCTGGACGCTCCCTTTACACAGCCCAAATCTGGGTTTCCAGGCAGATTGCTGGCTCCGGCTTCCTGTGAGATTTGCCCATGTGTCTCTCTCAGCCTGAATCTTGTTTGGCTCTGAGTCCTTGAGACCACACACCAGAATAAGAATAGCTGAGCACAAGTCTTTATTACTGGTGAAGAACCCACGATCAAGTTCTGGGTTCACATTGGTGATGTGGGGACCCAGAAAAGAAGGAGTTCGTGAGAGGCAACAGATCACAGGGACAACCTATGTTCCAAGAGCGACAGCGATCACACTGAGCACCCAGCTTCCGAGCATTGGGCCATGAACTTGTCCCTGGGATGGGCAGGAACAGCAACATCTAACAAGGATTCTGTCCACGCTTGTGAATTCGGGGACCTGCAACTTTCCCTCTGGCTTGGAGCCAGGCGCACTCCAGACACCCTGGCTCTGGAGGGAGACAAGCGCCTGGGATCATGACAATTGTCACTATCCCTCAGGCTGGAGACAAAAGGGCATTTTTTTTTAGTCCCTTAGGCAGAGATGGGCGAGTCTGTGTGAGTTCCAGGGCAGCCTGGTCTACATGGCGAGTTCTAGTTCAGCTCGCCTTAAGTGCGGGGGCCCATGTGGACAGAGGGCAGGTCCCTTGGCCCCTCGGGGAGAACCCCTGTGGTTGGGGATAGGAGTCACTGCGCCACCCACCCTGAGTCAGACTCGGCTATGGACGCCCCAGGGCGGCAGAGCCGGAGTCCAGGGCCCTGTCACCCGCCAAGCCGTGGAGGGATCGACCAACCCTTACCCGGTCTCGCGGATGGCGTTGGTGAGGTTGGCCCAGGCCACCGCGTCGGGGTGGAAGCCATCCTCCAGGCGCAGCTGGCCCGACGCGGCGTCCAGCAGCAGCGAGCGGGTGCGGGAGACGGGAGGATCGGAGTTTTGGCGTTGCCAGCCGGGCCCCAGGGTGGGGAGAGCGCCCGTCGGGCCGCTCAGCAATAGCCCGGCCAGCGAGGCCAGCGAGGCCAACGCCAGCGCCCGCCGCAGCGCCCGGGTCACCTGGCCGCCGGGGCTCCGGTCCATGGGGGCCGCCATCGCGAGCCGCAGCCGGGCCACGTGACTGTGCCCCGAGGGGCGGGACCGGGGCGGAGCCAGCGGCTAGGCTTCCGGGATGGGCGTGGTCTGCGGTCCTGCAGGGGCGGGGCCTGCCTTAAAGGGCTCGCGCTCGCTGCGGAAAGTACGCTCAGCATCCTTCCTCCCTAGGAATGAGTGTATTTTCGTTCTGGTTTTTGTTTGTTTGTTTTTGGTTTGGTTTGGTTTTTAATTATCCTTCCTCCTCCTCCTCCTCACCTTTTTACTTCTCCTTCCTCTTTCTCACCTTCTCTTAATTTTTAATATTTTTAGATTTATTTCTTTTATTTTATGTGTGTGTCTATGTGCAGCATGTGAGTGCCCATCACCCTCAAAGGTGAGAAGAGGGCATAGGATCCACTAGAACTAGCATTATGGTCCTTGGGAGCCACCGTATGGATGCTGGGAACTGAACCCAGGTCCTCCTTAGAGTAACAAGTACTCTTAACAACGGAGCCATCTCTCCAGACTTGATTGCCTTTTACTTTTAAGCATTTCTCTGTAGGGGTGTACACGTGCATGCATGTGACTGGACCAGTGTGTGCGTGTGTATTTGAGAATGTAGACGCAGGTGGAGGCCAGAAAAGAGTGCTACATTCCCTGAGGCTCCGTTGTGACATACCTGAATGTGGATGCTGGGATTCGAACTCAACTGCTCTGCAAGAACATCAACCCCCCTTTACTGCTGAGCCATCTCCCAGCCCACAACTTCTTTTTCCTATCTGTCTGTCCATGAATGAAATGGTCCCAATATGTTACCCAGGCTAGCCTGAGCTACAAAGTTAATTCTAGGCTAGCCTAGGACACAGTATGAGACCCTATCTCAAAATAATTTAAAAAAAAAAACAAACTGGGTTTTGGAATACCTGTACCTGTGCTCTCGAAGGTTGTGAAACCCGCTTGGAATAAAAAGTGAGAATCTGTCTCAAAATATAACTCAAAGGAAGGTAGTGATTGGCATTTCAACCAATGCAGGTGTCAGACCTTCAACTGGCAGCACCAGACCCCAGAAGCCAAGGGCGTGCGCGTACAAGCTGTCCTCAACTCAGATCAACATCTTTAGTCAAGTCGCTGGCCAACTTTGCCTCTGACCAACCAGTGACAAATTCCATGGGTTCATGCGTACAAAGTGACTCATACCTATGATTCTAGCACGGAGGAGGGCTGAGTCAGGAGGATTGCAAGAAGTCCAGACCAGCCTGAACTGCAGTGTGAGACCTTGTCCCATACCAAAAAAGAACTCGCTTTTCCGGTCTCTTTGGCCTCGTCGGTAGGAGCAAGATGACGAAAGGAACGTCATCCTTCGGAAAGCGTCGCAATAAGACGCACACGCTGTGCCGCCGCTGTGGCTCCAAGGCCTACCACCTTCAGAAGTCGACTTGTGGCAAATGCGGCTACCCTGCCAAGCGCAAGAGAAAGTATAACTGGAGTGCCAAGGCTAAGAGACGAAACACTACCGGGACTGGTCGGATGAGGCACCTAAAGATTGTCTATCGCAGATTCAGACATGGATTCCGTGAAGGGACGACACCTAAACCCAAGAGGGCAGCTGTTGCAGCATCCAGTTCATCTTGAGGATTTCAATCAGTCATAAAATAAATGTTCTGGTTTCAAAAAAAAAAAAAAAAGAAGAACTCATCCTGTCCCTCTACCCCTACCCTGATTTATAACTTTCTAGAATGTTTCACAGGACAGGAAAGGTGCTTCCCAAGGGACATATTTAAAGACACATCTACCTGTAAGCCCAGCCAGCAGTCACTGGGCTGAGGCTGGAGGATCACCGGCTGGAGACTTACATGGACTAAATAGTAAGACCTCATCATTTAAAGAAGAAAGAGGAGGAGGAGGAGGAGGAGGAGGGGGAAGAGGAGGAGGAGGAGGAGGAAGAGGAGGGGAAAAGGAGGAGGAGGAAGAGGAGGGGAAAGAGGATGGGGAAGAGGAGGGGGAAGAGGAGGAGGAGGAAGAGGAGGAAGAGGAGGAAGAGGAGGAAGAGGAGGAAGAGGAGGAAAAGGAGGAAGAGGAGGAAGGAGAGGAGGAGGAAGAGGAGGAGGAGGAAGAAGAGGGGGAAGAGGAGAAGAAGGAGAGGAGGAGAAGAGGAGGAAGAGGAGGGGGAGGAAGAAAGAAGAAGAAGAAGAAGAAGAAGAAGAAGAAGAAGAAGAAGAAGAAGAAGAAGAAG